GGCCTCAGCAAGGAAACAGAAACCACCAGAAGACTCTGGCTCCCTTTAGCCAGGCGGACTCAGAGCTGGTGTCTCTGTGTGTACATTAGACACAGCCCGGCACTTGCCTTTGTCTCTTGGTCAAATCCATTGCATCGAAAAACTTGTTCCCCTTCTTCTCCTTGGGCCCTTACAATAAATACAGGCCAATTGAAAGACGCCAGCCCCAGTGGCAGAGCCAGGCCCCACTGGAATTTAGGCCTAAGACAACTGGGTAGCAATCACCATGGAACAGAACACACTGTTTTAGAGTCTTAATTCTCCCCTAAAATGTGCCCAGCTGCTCCTCTTTAGCCGGGATAGACTGAACTAAGGAACCAAAGACCGAGTTTCCTTTGAGGTGGGATCCACCAGGAGCCAGCTGGTGGCAAGGCCCCTCACAGGTGGCTGCCTTCTCCCCAAGTTCAGTGTGCTTTGGTGGTGCCAGGTCCTGGGCTGCTGGGCGGGCGGCAGGTCCATAGGTTTTCTCTTCACTGCCTTCCTGGCCTCCTGAGCAGTACCCTCCAGCCTGGCATTCCAGGCAGCTGTCACTAGAGCTGGGACTCAGAAAGCAAAGGAGCTGGCCCTGGCAGAGAGGGATCCACAGGTGTCCAGGCCATGTCCCCCACCCTATGGAGGGTTCTCTCTTTCCCGTGTCCAGCTCGGCTAGAGAACAGTCCAGTTCCTGAGTAGGGGCAGCTGGGGATTGAGAAAATGAAAGAAAAAGGCAGACATAGAGATGGAAGGAAAAAGCTGGGGCCAGGTGGGACCGCTGCCCTCTTCTGATGGAGAGACAGGGACCCAGCACCGATACAGTGTGTTTATTTTATACCCCAAATACCAGGAAGTTTCACCAAAGGTCTAGACAAAGGAGATTATATGCATTTTTGGGTGGGCCCGAGTGGTATTCATTCCTGGTGCTTGGCTGGATTTACATAATAAAACCCACTCCCCAGCACCTGGGCAGAAATGAAGGTCAAGCTGAGAACACTTCTGCTTTTTTGGCAAGATGTGTTTCCAGGACGTGGCTTTGCCTACCACCCTGGATTCAGCTGACAATTTATTAAAGAAATGCCCATGTGCCTTCCCAGGGGCTCTCTACACCACCCCACTTCTCAGACTTGCTCACGTGGATCAGGCCAAAGCCCACTGCCTGAGACTGGCGCCATGTGGGGAGGGTCACAGCAGGGAGAAGGGCATCCTGAACTGCCAGCCTTGGTGACAATCATCTCAATGCCCAGCTGATTGAATTCATCCCACAAAGCTGTCATCTCAAGCTGCTCGCTCACGCTGGCCACCTTCACATTCTTCTTTACTGGTGCTTTGGCAGCACCCGCACAACTAGCCCCGAGGCCCTTGGGCTTGGCAGCAGCACTGGTGGCAGCCCCTGCGGCCGGTGCGTCACAGTGACCAGTCATTCTGGTCATTGCACCATTAGGGTCACTGGGCTTTTATTATATAGACTAGATGCAGAGGTCCTCAAACTTTTTAAACAGGGGGCCAGTTCACTGTCCCTCAGACATTCCACACATGCGCACTGCGGGCCCGGGACGAGTAGGCTGCTAAGCAGGACAGGCAGCGGCGGCAAAAACACCCGGCGGGCCGGATAAATGTTTTCGGCGGGCTGCATGTGGCCCGCGGGCCATAGTTTGAGGACCCCTGGTAGAGGCTCAATGAACAAAAATTCATGAAAGAATAGGCCTTCCTTCCCCCAGCTGCCAGCACCAGCTTCCCTCCGGCACCTGGGACCCAGGCTTCCCTCCTCCAGCCACCGGCAGGCACCCAGGACCTGGGCTGCTTCCCTCCTCCAGTCACCCACAGGCCTCAGGACCCAGACTGGCTTCTGTCAGGCCGCCCACAGGCACCTGGGACCCGGGCTGGCTTCCCTCTGGCCCCGGCTTTGTTGGGAAAGATGTCTGGAATGGCGTCCGGAAGGATGTCCAGTCTAATTAGCATGTTACCCTTTTATTATTATAGACTAGAGGCCTGGTGCATGAAATTCATGTACTGGAGTGGGGGGTCCATCAGCCCGGCCTGTGCCCTCTTGCAGTCCGGGAGCCCCGTGATTAATCGCCCCAAAGAGGTAGGCCCTGCCCACCACCACAGTGCCGTAGGTCGGTGGCCTGGGCCTCCCTCTGCGGGGTGATCATGGGGCAACAACAGGGCCCCCTACCCATTGCATCGCACCCACCTTGGTTGGCCTGGTGTCAGTGCATGTCATAGTGTGGTCATCTGGATGGTCGTTCGCTATTCGGCCATTCGGTCAATTTGCATATTATGCTTTTATTATTATAGATACCTACATGTGCAAAGCATATTATTTATTCCGTTGACAATAAGTCTTCTGTGTACATATAGTTTCCAGGGGCCCTTGCAATAATTCAGAAATTCTCACCCCAGAAGGCTGCAGCCCACCAGGCTAGGAAACATTGTTTTAGTATAATACAGAAGAGGAAAAGGGTTTGCTTCCTAGGGTGAAGCACCATATAAGGAAAGCAATCATGGAGTATTTGGGTAGGAAAGAGGGGCATTTTATCCAGGAAGAGAAAGCATGAGGGAAATTTTGAAGCTAGGGTAATCAACTAGATATGAGATGACAAGAACTTCAAGAAGTAGGGGAGTAATAGGAATGGAAAGAAAGGAATGGATATGTAAGACAAGGAAAAAAACACATCGGAATTAGTGACTGATTAGACAGAAAGGGGAAAGAAGTCACCAACCTAGTTGTTCTACTTTAGAATCCCTGCTGTTCATCCATTATATGGCTTCTGGCTAGAGAAAAGGCCAAAGAGGAACCCCTGAGGAACATCCTTGACCTACATAGAAACTTACCTGAAATATTTTCAGAGTCTGAGATTCACCCTCACTCTGACCTATTTCACCCTGCCTCACCCAAATCTCTTAACACTCTAATAATTTCCATGGTAAGCCCAACAAGAACACCATTTAAAGTTCCTATTGAGCTTGGTCTGCTAAAGCCAATGAGATTCTCCATGTTGGCCTGGGCCTGGAGACTAGAAAAAAAGTAATATTGGACCGAAGCCACCTGTTTTTATTAACCCCTTCCCTGGGCTCTCTTCAGCCTTTGATGAGGGGCAGAGCATAAGGCGATTTGACCAGGACCAAAGGGTTGGGTTAAGCTCGACTGGAATAATGAGGGCAGTTTGATCCTCTGGAGAGATCAGAAGTTTGACAACTTGTTCAATGCATCGTGCAAGGTAAGGAAACCAAAAGACCCCTCCCCCAAACACTAGGACTGTAGCTGGGGCTAGAGGTCATAAAAACCACTGAGGTCATAGAAGCCTCCCTCTCTTACCCTGTCTCCCCACTGCTACATAGTCCCCCACCCCCAGCTGCCTCCCACATATGCACACACTTACATAAAAAGGTTAGGAAGGGTCAGACACCATCTGGGAACCCTTAGGTACCAAAAGGGGTGACGTGGGTGGTGGCAATGATTGCTCAGAATGTAGGGTGCATACTAGTATCCCTAGTGCTGGGAATAGTAGGTGGGAAGAGGGGAGAGAGGAACAAGGAGGAGGGGGTTTGTTCCTGTTGCTGATTCAGATTTAACCCCCATCCTTCTTACTTCCCAGTCCTCCCTTCCCTCCTCCTTCACCCTCCCCCCAGTCTCTCCCCCTACTGTCCTCTCCCACCTCCAATTGATCATGGCATCAGAAGCAGAAAAAACATTCAAACGGTTTGCTGTCTTCGGAGAATCATCAAGCAGTGGCGTTGAAATTAACAACAAAAACTTCTCCAAGCTGTGCAAAGACTGTGGCATCATGGATGGCAAGATGGTCACTTCCACTGATGTGGACATCGTGTTCAGCAAAGTCAAGTAAGTGACCAAAGATGGGAGTAGAGGTCATGAGCAGAACAAACAAGATAGTGAGACATGGAAGGGTTTATGTGATAGAACATTTGTAATGGGTCTACTGAGCACCTACTGGTTACTTGGCACTATTTATTCTCTGTCCTCAAGACATTCAGTGACCAAGGCTGAGTAAAGGGAGGGTTGGACCTTGGCAGGTGATGAGTTCATGTTCCAGAGTTCCTGGATTTTTTTCTTACTGACCAGGGACAAGAATGCACGAACCATCACATTTGCACAGTTCCAGGAAGCAATGAAGGAACTGGGCCAGAAGCGATTTAAGGGGAAGAACCCAGATGAAACCCTAGAGAACATTTATAAACTCATGGAGGGCAAGGATCCAGCTACCCCTGGTGTTACTGTGAGTGATATTCTTCATCCCTAATACTTGACCCTGCTTCCCTGCTACTCCGTCTCCTCTCCCACCCTCTGATGACCCTAATGCCTGCCAACAGAGGGGAGGCAGGGCAGAAAGCCTCTGGGGGCACTGTTGGTACTGGAATGGACTTCAGAGATCATCCAGTCATTTCAGAGGTGAGGAAACTGTGGCCCAGAGAAGGGAAGTGACTTGCCCAAGGTCCACAGTTATTTTATTTTATTTTTTTTGTTCATCCTCACCCGAGGATATTTTTCCATTGATTTTTAGAGAGCGTGAAAGGGAGGGGGAGAGACAGAGAGAGGGAGACTCATCGACTGGTTGCCTCCCCCACACACGCCGGGGATTGAGCTGGCAACTGAGGTATGTGCCCTTGACTGGAATTGAACCTGAGACTCTTCAGTCCTCCAACCAATGCTCTATCCACTGAGCCCAACCAGCTAAGGCCCACAGCTACTTTAATAGCAAAATTTAGACTCACTCTCAAGTGTCCAGTATGTGAGCCAGGCAACTAGGACCTGGTGGATACTGCAGAGGACTTGGTATCTGATCCCCACTCTTCTTCCTTGCACTTATATAAGGTTTCTGGCTTTCTGCCTCTCACCACCCTCTATTCCATATTTGTCCCCTCTCTCCTGAAAGCTCTTTCTACTCTAGATTTCAAATAGGACCTTGCAGTAGGAAGAACCTTGCATATTGGATCTGGGGTTGAAGTCTCCTGGCTATAGCCTCATCAAAATAACTCCACTGGCCTGCCAGGTGGCTCAGTCAGTTGGAGTGTTGTCCCATACACCAAATGGTTGCATGTTCGATTGCGGGTCAGGGCACATACTAGGTTGCAGGTTCGATCCCCCATTGGGGTGCATATGGGAGGCAACCGATTGATGTTTCTCTCACACATCAATGTTTCTCTCTCTCTCCCTTCTCTCTCTCTAAACAAACAAAAAAATATCCTCGGGTGAGAATTAACAATAATAATAATTTTAAAAAAAATAACTCCTCACCTGGCTGGTGTGGCTCAGCAGTTGAACATCGACCCATGAACCAAGAGGTTGATGGTTTGATTCCCAGTCAGGGCACATGCCCGGATTGTAGGCCCAATCCCCAGTAGGGGGCATGCAGGGGGCAGACAATCGATGTTTCTCTCTCTCTCTTGACCTTTCTCTCACTCTAAAAAATCAATTTAATATACTTTTTAAAATAATAATAACTCCTTTGTAAGCAGAAAAAATCCACACACAGTCCATTCACTCCCATACACCAATGGATGGCTCTTGCCATCGTTTTTGCCCACAGCCACATGGGGGCCCTGAAAAAGCAGCACCATGCCATTGGTAGAACAAGAGCTCTGAGCCCTAGGGGAATCAAAGACCATCTTAAGAGAAGGGGTCTAAATAATATATTTTTTAAAATAATAATAACTCCTTTGGAAGCAGAAAAAATCCACACACAGTCCACTCACTCCCATACACCAATGGATGGCTCTTGCCATCGTTTTTGCCCACAGCCACATGGGGGCCCTGAAAAAGCAGCACCATGCCATTGGTAGAACAAGAGCTCTGAGCCCTAGGGGAATCAAAGACCATCTTAAGAGAAGGGGTCTAACTGTGGAGGGAAAAGGAGAGGGATCAGACTTATCATCCTCTGGCTTACAGAAAGCAACAACCGTGGGCGGAGTGAGCCGGCTGACAGACACCAGCAAGTACACTGGCAGCCACAAGGAGCGCTTTGACGAGAGTGGCAAGGGCAAAGGCATAGCAGGACGGGAAGAGAGGAGCGAAAACTCAGGCTATGTGAGTGCCTACAAGGGTGCTGGCACCTATGATAAGAAGAAGGAGAGTAAGTAGGGAGTAACCTCATCTTAGCCTGCCAGCCCTTGACCCAGCATCTTTAATACTGGGGAGCTCAGGAAACAATAAATATGTGTGTGTGCAGCAGCTAATGAACTCTGTCTTCAGCGAGGGAAGGGGGAAGG